CGCACCTCCGATGGGCTCTGCGTGGACCCCGAGGAGCTGAACCTCAGCGCGTCCAGCACAGGCCCATCCCTGGAGCCCGCGGTCACCACTGTGAGCAGGTTCAGCAGCCTCCTCTCCAAGCTGCTGGCCCCGAGGGCCCCAGTGGAGGAGGCGGCCAACACAACCGTGGGGCCAGTCAATGGCTCGCTGGCCCTTCCCTCGAGGGCGGTGGGAGGCTCAGGCCGCAGCACCCAGGTTCTCCTGGGCTCCAGTCTCCTGCTCAGCGCGGCCCAGCACATGCTGTTTGTCCTACAGACATCCGGAGCCTGCCACCCTGGGGTGGCCCAGACTGCCTTGGCCAGTGGCGGATAATTTCCCTAATTAGGCCTGAAGGTGTTTGTGGTGGGGGGAGAGGGGAACAGGATGGAGAAGTTTGCCTCTAGAGATGGCCCCAGGAAGAGGACAGCCCTGAGAAACGGCACCTGGGATTAGGGGAGGGGTATGGATTTCTGTTCATGTCACATGGGCATCAGTTGGAAAAGAGAAGCAAGAATGAACATGGCCCTGACCGGTTTGGCTCAGTGGATAGAGTGTCGCCTGTGGACTGAAGGGTCCCGGGTTCGATTCCGGTCAAGGGCATGTACCTTGGTTGCGGGCACATCCCCGGGGGGGGGGGTGTGCAGGAGGCAGCTGATCGATGTCTCTCTCTCATCAATGTTTCTAACTCTCTATTCCCTCTCCCTTCTTCTCTGTAAAAAATCAATAAAATGTATTATAAAAAAATGTAAGTCTCCAATTCCTGGAAAGTTTATATTGCGGTCCTTTCTGGGAAGATGAGGGATGAGGGGAGGAATGGAGGTGGCGCCCCGGGACCCTACAAGCTTCCAATTCCTAGCCTTTTGGTGGAAGGGTCCATGTTCATTCTTTTATTTTTTTAATATATTTTATTGATTTTTTACAGAGAGGAAGGGAGAGGGATAGAGAGTCAGAAACATCGATCAGCTGCCCCCTGCACATCCCCTACTGGGGATGTGCCCACAACCAAGGTACATGCCCTTGACCGGAATCGAACCTGGGACCCTTCAGTCTGCAGGCCAACGCTCTATCCACTGAGCCAAACCGGTTCAGGCTAAATAGGTAATTTTTTATGAAAAATGAGGAAAAATGGGAGTACAGGGTGGTGCACTCTTCGGGGCTGCCCAATGGCCAGGAGGAGAGGAGGCAGCCAGTAGCTGGGTAGGGGGCTGAGGTATTTCCTAGGAAGGGAGTTGGCCAACTGGGAGTCCCCAGGCCCGAGTGTCGGAGCAAAGGCTGAAGTTTTCTGAGCACTGGCCCAAGCTGTTCTCCATCCACGGGCAATGATGACTGCCTTTGTCAACGTTCCGGAAATCCCTAATCTTTTTTTTTTTTCCGGAAATCCCTAATCTTAATGTCCCGAGTTCCTCTCTCTGTGTTTGAAGAGGTTTTCTTTTATATTTTTCTCTCTTTTTTTGTCTTCAAAGAAGTTTTTACTAAGATATCATCCAGATAAATGAGAAGATAGTATAGATGTTTTATTATTATTATTTTTAATCCTCTGGACTGGGGCCAGGGACCGAACCTGCAACATAGTACCTGCCCTTGACTGGGAATTGAAATGACGACCCTTTGGTCTGTGGGCCAACGCTTTAACCACTGAGCCGAACCAGCCAGGGCATATCATAGATATTTTAGAAAGGGAAGCACCCATTACAAATGTCTATGTTTGTACAACTAATGGATGCTCAAGAGTGCATAGACAATTGTGCATAGGCCCTTCTGAAGTGTGTATGTGTTTATACACACTTACATATGTGTTTGTGTTCTATAAAAACGCGAGCCTAAGGAGCAGGAAGTGTTACAACTATTGCATAAAGAAGGTCAAGGTGCATTGCTTTCATCCAATTTTTCCTTAAAAAACTTTAAAAAGTGACTATAGGTGTGACTCCCGTGTGCCCCCTAATTTCCCTTTAGGCCAACGGGAAATACATTTCCTACTGTTGTTAGGAAAGGAGGTGGGTTTTCAAAGCCCATACAGATCCAAGTGCATCAAGTGTCTGTTCTTTAAAAAATATATTTTTATTGACTTTAGACAGGAAGGGAGAGGGAGAGAGAGAGAGAGAAATATTAATAATGAGAGGCCTGGCTGGCGTGGCTGAGGGGTTGAGCATTGACTTATGAGCCAGGAGGTCACAGTTCAATTCCCAGTCAGGGCACATGCCCGGGTTGTGGGCTCGATCCCCAGTGTGGGGCATGCGGGAGGCAGCCGATCCATGATTCTCTCTCATCATTGATCTCTCTCTCTCTCTCTTCATCTCTGAAAAAAAAAAAAAGAAATAATCATTGACTGGCTGCCTCCTGCACGCCCCACACTGGGGATTGAGCCTGCAACCTGGGCATGTGACCCGACTGGGAATTGAACGGTGACCTCCTGGTTCATGGGTTGACACTCACCCACTGAGCACGCGGGCAGGCCGGAGCGTCCATTCTGCACGGTGGCAGTACTTTGGTGTCTGCAGGTCATGTTAAATATTAGCAATGCCGCCGAAAGCACCTGAGGGGAGGGCGGGAGTGAACAAACAGCTTGTGACCCTTGTGCTCACCAACCCAATGGAACGGCTCATCACCAGCATTTCAAAAACAAGACAGAACGCCAACGTCACAGAGCCTCACATGACATGTCTATTATAAGAGTAAGTTTTGGTTTGTGAACCTTTTGATTGAATTTGTATGCGTTTGTTCAGATTATATATGTATGTGTCTGGAGTGCTTAATACAATCTATATTTATTGTGCGTTAGCATTAAAGAAGTTTGAAAGTCAGTAATCTGGAGCATGCATGATTTAACAAAACCTTTTCATTTGGAGTAATTGCAAACCTACAGAAAAGCTGCAAGAATAGTGGAATGAACACTTTGGCCGTTCACCTAGGTTTTCCAGTTGATAGCATTTTACTATATTTGCTTTCCCTTCCTCGCCATGTTATTATTATTTCTTTTTAAAAATATTTGTATTGATTTCAGAGAGGAAGGGAGAGGGAGAGAGAGAGAAACATCAATGATGAGAGAGAATCATGGATCAGCTGCCTCCTGCACGCCCTCTACTGGGGATTGAGCCTGCAACCCAGGCATGTGCCCTGGACCTGAATCGAACCTGGGACCCTTCAGTCCACAGGCCGATGCTCTATCCACTGAGAAACACCAGCCAGGACTATTATTATTTTTTACTAACAGAGTTAGTTGCAAACATCACGGCCCTTTACCCCTAAATACCTCAGGATGTATTGCCGGAGTCAAGGACATTTTCTCATCCCCAATCCCATTATATCAAAATCAGGAACTGTCATCAATACAATACTATTATTTAAACTATTCTCTATATTGAAACCTCAACAGTGGTCTAAAAGACTTAAAAAAATTAAAAAAATATATTTGTATTGATTTCAGAGAGAGGAAGGGAGAGGGAGAGGGAGAGAAACATCCATGATGAGAGAGAATCATGGATCGGCTGCCTCCTGCATGCTTCACACTGGGGTTGGGGCCCACAACCCGGGCCTGTGCCCTGATCGGGAATCGAACCCCGACCTCCTGGTTCATAGGTCGATGCTCCACCACGAAGCCAGGCCGCCGGGCTGAAAAAATTAGGTTCCTAGGGCGTGGCTGGTGTTCATTTGATTGCAATACTTCAAAATTGCCAATCCCTCGATTGATTTTTATGTTCCCAAATGCAATCATTTCCCAAATGCCTTACTTTTCACATGTGAGACCCAGATGAGGTCAGAATTGTTTGTTCAGACCGTGTGTGGTGGCCATGGTAACAGAGCGAGGATCCCGAGAATCCTGGAGACCAGCTCTCTCCGTAACCATGGCAGCCACAGCAGAGGCGCAGCCTGAGCTGCCGAGGAACCAGCCGCCTTGGGAGGGATGCCCTGCCTTGCACTTGGCCGGGTTGCTGAGAGCCCTGCCTCCACATGCGGCTCCAGTTCTGCCTGGGGGGTTAGGTGGCCAGTTTTTAGGGAACATTTATTTGGCTGAAAGTTTTTGAACAAGTAGCAACACTGAAATAGCCTCTGGGAGGCAGATTTTTCTAGAGCTACGCAGCCCAGAAGGATTCTGGGAAGGTGGGGGTTGCTTCCTGTCAGACAGTTCCCGGGGAGTCGTGCCCAGTGTGAGCTCTCCCGAGAGAAGGGGGAGTGGGAGTCCCCAGTTTTTAGTTCATCAAGGTCCTCACCCCATCACTGGCTCCCTAGGAGCCCCTTGGGACAAGTAAGGTGCTATGGACTCTGCTGAGCAAAACGACGTGTACCTGTCAGGATGGACCCCGTTATGCTGCGGTAACAAGCAACCCCGTCTTTGGTGGCTTCCTGAGGGCTATTCGTGCTTAAGCAACTTGCCCAACATGGGCTTCTGAGGGGCTCTGCTCACTGTAGGCACTTAGGTTGCCCGGCGGATGGAGGAGCTGCCAGTGTAGGACACGGTTACTCCAACACGGGCTTGAGGGTTTGCGCCCAGAGAAGGGAAGCTCTGCAATGCTTCCACCCCGACGTGACTCACATTTATTGGCCCCAAATGTCACACAGCCACACAACTTCACCAGGCAGGGAAAGCCGGTCCCCCCACGTGCTCACCACCAGCAACGCCCCAGGCACGAGTGGCTCCAGGCAGCTCGCCTGCTAGAATGAGGCCTGGACTCTCAGAGCTGGCCGAAGAGCCCGGCCGCGTAGCTCAGTGGTGAGTGTGGACCTATGAACCAGGAGGTCACAGTTCAGTTCCCAGTCAGGGCACGTGCTTTAGTTATATGTGAGTGTGAGTGAGTGAGTGTGTGTGTGTGAGTGTATGTGAGTATGAATGTGTGTGTGTATGTGTGTGTGAGTGTGTGTGTGTGAGTGTGTGTGTGTGTGTGTGGATGAGCGTGAGTGTGTGTGTGTGTGTGTGTGTACTGGATCACAACATAAAAATATCACTGCAGGTCATCATCGTGAACATTTGAAAGCCAGCGTCATAGATCAGTTTGATTCCTTTTTTTCAAAGAATGTGAAGTTAAAAGTCAAGTGCAGCCCTAGCCATTTGGCTCAGTGGATAGAGTGTCAGCCCGTGGACCAAAGAGTCCTGGGTTCGATTCTGATCAAGGGCATGCACCTCAGTTGCAGGGATCCCCAGCCCTGGGTTGGGGTGCATTCGGGAAGCAACCAGTAGATGTGTCTCTCTCACATCGATGTCTCTCTGTCTCTCCCCGTCCCTTCCACTCCTTAAAAATCAATGGAGCCGAAACCGGTTTGGCTCAGTGGATAGAGCGTTGGCCTGCGGACTGAGGGGTCCCAGGTTCGATTCCGGTCAAGGGTATGTACCTGGGTTGTGGGCACATCCCCGGTAGGAGATGTGCAGGAGGCAGCTGATCGATGTTTCTCTCTCATCGATGTTTCTAACTCTCTATCTCTCTCCCTTCCTCTCTGTAAAAAATCAATAAAATATATTAAAAAAAAATCAATGGAAGCTTTGCGCAGCAGCAGCATCGTAGCCAATGAGGTTTATCCAAGGTGCGATTATTGCTAATTGAAAAAACAATCAATGGAAAAACATCCTCGGTGAGGATTAACAAAACAAACAAACGACAAAAAAGCCAAGTGCGCAACGCATTCCATTTGCTGACTCTTCTCCCAGCCAATTCCTTTTCTTGCATCGCCACCAAACAGTGGACTTGCCTTATGTGGACCCCGTTTAAAGACCAGTCAGACCAGAAGCGGCGCCGTGGGGCATTTGGAAGAGCACCTGGGCGCTTAGGAGTCAGAATG